AATCTAGAACGCTAGCAGTGTTTATATGTCTTTGTTTCCACAAGGGACTGGCCATAAGTTCTCCAAGGGGCTCTCTATAGCCCGCAAAGAGGCACGGCGATATTTAAAGCATCTGACTTTGGATAGCCTTCTTGAAACCATCTGGGAACATGTACGCTCGATTCGCGGTCTCTTCCTTATAACCACCTGTGACTGCCAGATTGTTAGCTTGAGATCATTGGTTCAGATTTCATTTATTATTTGATAGCTTACCATACCTGATCACGATAATATTGGTCGAGTTGGATCCCTAGCGTCTTCAATCGCTACAGGTCTCCCGACTATCCTCTATAGAAGCTACACTCGAGTATCCTTCATAGAAGCTACACCCGAGGGTGAGAGGACCGGTCTTGAAGTTGACTCCAGAATGGTCCCGGGGGGCACGGGCTTGAAATATGGGCGGAGGATAGCCTCCGGCTCAATCTTAAAATTGTTAGCGGGATTAGGAATAGAAAATCGAAATACGAATCTATGAGGGATCTTACTTCAGCCTTTCCCAGAAGTACGAAAAGCCAAGGCTGGAACTACAAGGCTAATTCGGTGCCCTTTCTTATAATCCAGGGTTCAACGCTTGGTGGTCATGCCTCATCACCAATAATTACAGTGGAAGGGCTCAGTCCAATCCATTCGTTCTTGCGTTATATCGGCCGGTCCCCATAGATGCAAAGGTGTGAGGAAGACCCTCGGCCTGATCCAGAAACAGGCTTCAAATGCATGCGAGCTTTCATCGGTAATTTTCCCGATTGCTTGAATGAGCTCGCGGTATTTGCCCTGCCTGAGGTATTCTACTTGCAGGCGCCTGGGAGTACACTCGAAACCCCTATACCAACTACACTATTAGCGACAAGACTTGGGGCCGGCTTGGTGCAGTGGATGACCTAGATTCCCGCAGGACATACCTCGAATTTTGTAATATATCTAACTCGAGGTCTGGTTTCGTGTTATACCCAACGGCAAAGGTCCTGCGTCCCTTCAGGTCAATCGCAAGACTTTGGAGTTCTCGGGATTGCAAGAGCGATCCGATGTCCACCCACGACTGGACTGGCTTTGCCACCCGATCGAGATGAAAAACACGAATATTACGCGAAGAATATGTCGCGAACTACCTTCGAATGCGACCTAAAGCTAGTTCCGCTGTGAGTCAGTACTAGATCGAAAGCCGGGACTCGGACTTCCTACCTTTTTTAATTGACGAAGTTAATTATCGAGTGTTTCTTCGACGTTGTGCTTGCCATGGCCTCCCCTTAAAACGCTGGGAACTTCATGAATTGGTGCCATCGCTTTTGCTGAAGGTAGCATATTCTTCGAGGCAGGTTGACTGGATTGTTGTTGATAGGATGGATGGTGTTTCAAGGACGGAAGGCGGGGGACAGGTATATATATGAGAATTTACAAATATATGGCAATTTTAAACCTGGAGGAAATTGTCAGAAATTCCAGCGCCGGCTATCTATGTGGCAGATCGTTATTGGGGCTCAAATACCCAAGTAAGAGGTGGGTAAGTAGGTAATTATATTATAGGCCATATATGGGCTATAAATCCTCCTACCCCAGACAGCCGGTCTAGGAGCAGGATGAATATAAGCTCGATAATATAAACACAAAATATTTGAATATTTCCCTTCCGCAACGCAACATGCCATACAGAGCCATTACTTAGGCACACAGTATGGATCGGTCCCGTAAACTAGGCACAAAACGGGCCGCCAGTATGGATCTCCTGTGACCTCGTTGAATTTGAGGAGTCCCACGACTAGGCGAGACACTTGGTCGGACCCGGGCCAGTGCCTGAATACATGATTTCCCTCTAGACTACATGATTTTAGGTTCAAACGGTTCTACGACGGGTTAGTATTCCCTTTCTTAAATATACAACTTTGTTCAAAAATTTGGGCCGCCAGCTTCCTTTTATGGATTCAGGTAAGAAGAGTCAATCCGGCCAGTAATAATACAGGCCCTTCAAATCGCACGTCTTAGCTATGATTTGAACTTGCTTTAGAACGTCGAAAATTTAAACAGGTTACAGCCCCACCCCCACAAACGCAGGAAAATTACCACCAAGCCAGGTGACATAATATACACATCTTCGATTAAAAACGGGACACCGGACCACGATGCCGTTCCACGGAATGTTGATGCACCGGTACCTTCCCGCTATCGCACCCTCTACAATCGGCGTAGTCCACACCAGGGCTTTTTCAGTATCTGCCGCAAACTCCAAAAAACGCTCCACGCGTATTCGTTAGGTCCGGCGACTAAGCCTAGCGATCTGATATCTGGAAAAATTGGAAACGTGATCCTAGACACCTAGTTCATTGATGATCTTGTCAAAGCAACTTCTTTGAGCCCCTGGATGTCGGTTATTGTTCGCAATAACCAAAAAGTGGGTATATTATACCACTCAATATTGGAATACATTTCCAAACCGGCATGTTTAAAATCAAAGTCCAGCGCAAATAGCGACATCCAAGGCCTTTAGAGTAAGAGTATTCAAGTTCTTGCAAGCTCTAACGAAGAGAAGGAGAGCATTTCGTTAGCAGGCGAAATCATGAAAAACGTCTATGCCAAAGTTAAAGCAGATGTTGCAACCAGCAAAGCTAACAAAAGCATTCAAATCAACGCTGGATAAACGTATGGTACCTCTAATCCTTTTATCCGAATTCTGTTTACACAACAAATAGAGCTTAACTAATATATATAATAATGGCTAGAATGGACAACAGTTCTACATCGAAGTAGAACGGATCTGGCACTTGCACGTGCAGTTCACGTCAAAGGATCCGATTTCATTACTGCAGACCAGGTGTTTGCAGCGGATTTCGGCAGGGAGGCTGCCCGTCGAGGAGTTCGGATATATGTGTCCCTGCTTCCGAATTCCTGGACGGCTCTTCGACAGAATCGATATTGGTGGGCTTTGGCCAGTCGATATAGCTCTCCAGCCTAGAGTTGCGTCCGCTGGGTAGTACGTGATTCCGAGGGCAGCCTATGCATCGCCACAAGTGATCGACGTGAGGCTGCCGTTTCCCACAGCGACGAACATTCCGGTATTTTAAGGCCAAGGGCCTCCCTGTCATTCCACTATAGCAACGACTTTTCAGCTATATTTGGAAGCTACCATCACCGATTCGTCCCATCTTACCCTTTAACCGCTGTTTTAGTTTATAATTTTCTTATTATTCTTTTTAGATTTTGTTTTAGGGCCGGGGTCTCCCCGAGGCCAGGTTTTTCGGCCTTTGTTTCTAAGTTTGCATGCATGTTTTCTTTTGGTTTTGCATTCTTTTTTTTTTTTATATATATACTCGCGAGAACTTGATCGCTCGATACAAGACGTATTGGGCGTAGTTGTTACATAAAGGAGTGAATGGGGAGCTGGTTTAATATATAGTTATAGCCACGGCTAATTTGGAAAGATGGAATTATAAGCCGAATCATTTCGAGCTTAACGTCGGTCTCTATCGGAAAAATGTAGAGAGGGCGGTCTAGGAAATAAATACTGGATATATTAGTGCTTTATATATTCGAAGGAGAGCGTTTACCACTGCCCAGACTTTTATGAAAAAAATTGGAGACCTGATAATTTTGCTAAAAACTTCGCTGTGGGTTGGAATGTCTGCGGTTTAATGCCTCTTCAACGGGGAAAGGATACACGTAGCAAGATTGCGAAAAAATGAATCCCCCAGGTTTAATAGCAAAAATACAAGCATATCCTACGGATAAGCTTCCTTAAGCTGACGTATCTACCTTCTGCTTGGTGTGCCTACACCAACCCAAACCGTGCCTAAGCGATTTAAGTCTATAATTCGATGGAATAATTGAAGTAAAGTGTTGGGAGACAAGAGCAAGATACTTATATCAGGTTGGAACGATAAATTCATCTGAGCTGTGTTCGCCAATTTTGCGGACTCGCCCAATTTGTTCGATCAAGGATATACATGAACCGCCAGCTTTCCAAGCCTTCTTTACATAGCTTAAGAATGCAAATCCGAAAGCCCCACAAACTACCTATGAAGTTTGGTCCTTTCCTTCTTTGCTCTTTTCAACTTCTAGCTTTTTGATATTGCTAGTCAAGATTTCCACCTATTTCAAATGCAACTTTGCTCATCGTTTAGGTTGACTTCGACTCTTCTATAGTTGCAATTCTAGAGCGTTCTGCAAATCTTGATACCGTTGTGTATTGTGGCGGCGACTATCCCTGGCCGGACGCTATTAAGCAAATAAAACTCGAACGCAGATGTAGATCGCTGTGGCTGTAGTTTCAAGAGACGTGATAGGTGAGGGTCCAAAGGAGTTTTTATATGCTTGGTAGACTGGCAGGTCGAGGGATTCGGGTAGATTCGAGGTCACTCTATATTAATTCGGGTAGCGGATTATCGACATAAACGTCAAGGGACCATTGGGCCCATATCTTCGTGATATAACGGCTCCCCCATATACCGTAACTCTGGTGACCATTGTTGCTACCCAACACCACCGTCGAACACGCGGATCAGCGATGGGATTAGGCCGGACAGGCCATTGTCTTTGCATGACATATCGAAGTTGAGTCGAATACGGTGTCTACTCCTGAATGTGGATGAAATGCGTAACCATAAACACAAAATGACGTGACGCCTAGCCAAATTATTATGTGATCTGGGCCTTGCCTCTGAGGCCCATATTTTGGCCATTTACGTGACACGTTGTGGGCACGCTCTGCCAGAAAGGCTAGCCGGCTTCAGCTGGGGATTCGGGTCCGGCCCAAACCGTCATATATCATATTAGATGAACGGGGAAGCAAAAATTTTGGTCGCTGGGCGGTCATGTGTTGAAATCATGATGGCTGTGGGATCAATGGAAATGGCGGAGGAGCCAATGGAGACGAAAGCTGCTTGGAAATTCCCGCCTTGGCATATTTGGTGCCACAGCCCTGTTCTCGGATGGTTCGATGGCTAAATAGTAAAATTGCGATCTGATCTCCATAGTCTCAGATGGTCCAGTGGTCAAGATTTCCGCCTGTCATCACGTGATGTGCTCGCGGACGACCGGGGTTCGATTCCCCGTCTGAGAGTCTTTTTTGTACTTTTTGTTCCAACCGCATGTTCGTCGGCATACATACAGCCTTCATTTTATTGGTCTAGGGCGAACTCCTGGCAACACATATTTTACGTTTAGATCACAAAAGTGTACTAGTGTATTATGCTAGAAACTGACACGAACTGACAGTAAATGGTACTGGCAATGTCTCGGGAATTAAATGAAGAAAGAAGTCAAACTGGCATTATCCCCCAAAGATATTCACTGATAATGATCAAAATTGGTCCTCTCCCTTTACCGCCAAAAAATGGGAACGAACTTGTCGTACGCATCTTCGGTGCTGGTTTCTTCTATATTTGCATCTCTTCTACGAAGGAAGACCTCGGCATCGTCTCTTAAATCCTCAGCCTCATCATCACTACCATGGTCTGCTTGAAGCAACGCTTCTGAAAGCTTGAACATATTACGCGCGTGCTCAACTGGCATGAGTTCCCGATGGAAATTTGTCACTACCATCGAGTCGCGAAGATGTTTGCTATGTAGACGTTTAGCAAGCCGTAACGACAAGGCAAGGGGAAAAGTCGACGTTGGCTTACATGGCAGCTTCCACTTTTCCCTGTTCCAAACAACAAACGCCCATCTTATACATACAACCCCCATTGAACGGGTGCAAGCGAGTTTGGTCACCTTTTAGCCACAAGTTTTGCGCCTCGATGAAATGCGCTTCAGCTACCTCACTGTTGCGCTCGCGTCTTTCCAAAACTCCTAGGGCGAAGTATCCACTAATTAAGTTAGCAGAATGGAACCTCAAAGAATTATCAAAGGTGGAATATACTAAGCGATCATAGCCCAATTGAGCGGTTTAACACTTCTAAACTCTTTCAGCGATAGTTGAAGTAGGCTTCGTGCCTCGGAGAATCTGTTCAGATACACTAAGCATCGTCCCATGTTCTTCTTTAGAAAAGCTGGCCAATTGGCTTCATTTCCTTGACTTAGCTCCCATGCGAACCATCTATCTCGAGATTTACTGAACCATTCTAATGCCGTCTCGTGCTGATTTGCCGTATTGTAATTGTAACCTAGATTATTCTCGAATCCTGCTAAGAGGATAGGCTTCAAAGGCACCTCGGACTGCCGTAGTGCATACGCCTTCAAGTTCAACTCGATCGCTAGTTCGACTTTCCCAATACTTTCGTACAAGTTTGACTGTTGGGAGTAGATGTGAGCCATCAGATCTTGTTTATGGCTTTTGTTTTCAAGTGTGGCGACCGCGAGAATATTGGCTTCACATAGATCCTCTAAATCTGTGAGTTGGTTTGCTTCATATAGATACCTAAATAATAACGTCAGGTTTGGCTGATTAAAGCAGCAGAAGTGGCGTAAATATAACAGTACCGTTGACATCCTTTCAGCAACTCGCAGAAATTTCCTGTTGCTTTGAATTCTTTCGAAGATTTCATTTCTTCTTTGAAGAAATCCTTAAGGTAGAGCACGTGCTGTAGGTATTGGTTACAAATTGCCCACTTTTCATAAAGCTGGTGCGTAGTTTCGTCTTCCTGCGGGAAAACTTTGTAGAGGAGAAAAGTGGCTAAATCGAAGGCCTTCTGCCGTTGCTCTCGCGACAAGAAATATTTGAACTGGGTCTGAACCATTCGGTGAATTGAAAGGACTTTTGTGTCCCGGTTTCTTTGGATTAAGGCACCTGTGAGCAAGCTCTCCACGGCATCAGAGAAGCTGTTATTTATATTAGCGGCTAGTAAGCTGATATAAGCTGGCATATATGCTGCTGGTCATATACCTGAATTCGTCACCGCAAAACTCCAATTCCTCGGGCAAATTTTCGACTTCATCATCGACTTTGAAGAGAGCTTCCGGAATATCGTCTGGCATTAAGAACGATACGATACCTAAAAGCGTATGGCTATCTTTCTCGCCGTGTTTCCCAAGCGATGTGAAGGAGATATCCCAGAGCGCCTCAATTTCAGAGTTGTGCGCGCGACGTCGATTCCTGAGATATATGGTCATAAATTCTGAAACAGACCAAGAACGTTTCTGAATTAGACTAGCCATTTGGTTGATGGCTAACGCATGGCCACTCAATATCTTAGATAATTCAAATGCGGAATGCCTCTCGCCATCTATATCCTTGCCAATGTTCTTTTTCAGAAGGAACAGAAGGAACTCCGAGCCAGTCGTGGAGTCCCAAGAGTGCACCTCCAAGCCCGCACTCGCAGGGTTGAAACCGAGTGTGTGATTACGTGTCGTGATAATTGCACTGCCATGGCTTGCTATTGGCCAATATGGCATGAGCAAATCCGCGCTTTCGACGTTGTCGTAGACGACGAGCCATCGCGTTGCTTTTCGTAGTATTGTGAGAATACGATGCAAATTTCATAAACTTCGAGGATGTCAAGGAGGACTCACTGGTAGACTGAAACCAACCGTGGACTAGTGTCAAATTCTCGTCGTGATTTTGTGGGTGGGCTCCTGGTAGATTTAATTTTATCGCAATGTCCGTAAAGCTCTGCCGCAAAGATGCCGTCTTTTCGCCGTGAACCCAGAATACTGAGTCGAATACATCGTCTTCCAGCTTGAGTTCCACATATCTAGCGGCAATTGAGCTTTTTCCAATTCCTCCTAACCCGTATAGCGCGATGGACCGGAATGTTGTTCCAGTTGGCGTACGGCCCAAAACTCGGTCTATTTTCGTGAAAATGTCAAGCCTGTTGAAGAATCTTGGTGTTTTGGTCTGAGGGAGAACGAGGCAGCGAAGCTTCTGCTCTATATCCTTGCCTGTTGAAACCAGCGACGATTGGTCTTGATTGGGAGTCGCAATGCGTGAAGTGATTTCAAATATCTTCTCAACCCTGTTTAAGGAATCCACCAGTTCTTGATTCAATTCCATAAAGCGCCGTTCGAGACGCATCCAAGGGTGCTCTTCAGTGTACCTTGGCCCTGATTTCATTTTTGTTAGATCTAGCCTGACCAACATGACGACTGATAGGGTACCTTCTAGATCTCCACGCATGATCTGGGTTGCCTCAACAAAGAACTCGACCAATAGGGTTTGTATCTCGAAGCATGGTTCCCGCATCTGTTTGTATAGTATTGGGGCCGCGCTACAGAGATTATTGAAAACCTCGGCTCTATGGCCGATCGATTTGAGCATTCTTGGTATCTTTACCAGTGCGTCAGGTGTCGTGACGGTGACCTAAGGGCGAGTGCTCAAGTTGTCAGGAATATAGGCATCCAATTCAAAACTTCGAGATATATCTATGCGCGGTAAATTTTATTTTTGCAATATACTTGTAGTAGAAGTCCAATTACGCCCCATAAAAAACCTGCATCTAATGGTATCCCTAGCTTTGATTGAAAAAAGCTTGTGAAGGTGGCGAGGTGGGCGAGCACTGGTTGGAGCGACACAATCTGGTGGGGGATTTTGGTGTTGGGATCGTTGGCAAAGATTTTGTGTTGCACCGCATCCCAAGTTCTCAGCGCCTGCACTTCGTCATTGTCGGCTGGTTCCAGAAGCAACTCGCATTTTTTGATTGTCGAGTCCCAGTGCTCTTGAAAATATTCTATCCTGTTCGTTTATTAGATTGTTGCTCGACGTTTAGTAGTAACAGCGGATATCGGTGCATATCTACAATTTAGGTGTGTTCATGTTAGGCGATCTGGAGGTGTGGGCTGACGAGTACTAAGTTAGAACAAAAAACAGCGGTGGCTACCACGGAGAGGAGGCGGAAACGATTGCGATGTGGAATACAGACAGTCCCTTATTATATACGGCGGGGGACCTGCCAAGCCCGGTGCTATCTGTCCCGCCTGAGGCTGGTGGCACAGGTTGCTCTTTTTCATCCCGCAAGGCTTGGTCATTTCGTATGATTATGTTGTGCACCTCCGATTGTTGCGTGCTTCGATAGTAGCCATTTACTCCTGTATACCATTTGATTATAACTCGAACGTATCTTTCGAAATCCCCCAGACCTATAGGCCTACCGGCGTCAAGCTGATACAATTCAAAATATTCGCAACTTTAATATAATCAAGAGTATGAGGTCAAATTCGACATGACGGGTACGGCCTGCGCATGAGAAATCTTGGGTTCAAATGCACAAATACAAACAAGGGGGTACGTATACATACATGTATATATGACATACCTAGGTACATACATGCAATAGGTTGGAGGCAAGACAGTTTTAGTTGCATGAAATAGGTGTCATAACTAATACGTAGGTTACAATTGCCACTTTTATTTATATACGTTCTCAGCTATACTATCCTAGCTCTGTCAAGCCAGCTGGAGGCTCGAGACCACGGTGGGGATTGGGGATCGCATTGAGAGCTCGAGCGCGCTAACGAAACGCTACTAATCTCACTTCAACACTTTGTCGAGCTGGAGATTCGGAGGTTGGATTCATGACTGACACGTGAAAACCGCCTATGTTTCGGGATTGCAAGTCAACACGAGCTCTTCGCATACAGAGAATCGAATCAGGAACTCAATCTAAAACTTACGAGCGCGTTTTCCATGCGAATCGGCGTTCCGAAATACAATAAGATCATCGATACTGTGATTTCTGATGAAATACCATCTGTGGGATGGATTGAAATGAAGCAGAGAGTTTTCGTCAACTCTATCCCGCCTCAAAGCGTCGTTGAGACGAATGTCGTTGTCTTGGTCAACGCTCGTCCAGTCGCAAAGCGCCAGAGGCCAATCATCACACGGGCCGATGAGCGGACGCCAGACACTATCGAAATCAGCGTCTCAATGTCAATTCAAGACTAGGATACAAACAGGGGGGTAAATGTATATAACTTACTTAAGAATGTCAAACTCCTTCCCTTTCCAAAACTCCTCTTGTCCTGGAAACGAGTGCTCAAGATTCATATACGAACCTTTTTGAGAACAGTCCGTATGAGGTCTTCTCGCCGGTTGCTCGTAATCGACGTACGTCCTCGTGATTCGAGGGAAGTCGGGGTCACGCTTTCTTACCTACAGAGGGACATTAGCTTGCTATATACCTCGGA